AGCACAGTTGTAGTAGCATGGACTGGTGCCATAGGGAATCTAGCTGTGCATTCAGAATATTGAGAGCTAATTGACTCAGAATCTCTTTCACAGCTCTCATCTTCCTGCAGGTCTAATGCATTACACTGCATGATCCCTAACTGTGTACTATTGCTGTGTTTGTTAGTTGAGCCATTCTTTATCAAAAACTGACAAGCAGCATTTGCTTCCTCCAAATCATTGAATAAGGATTCTACGGAGGACTTAAGCAAGTTATTGTTAGTTTGTAGACGAGTGATTTCATTCTGCATCCTAATCTTTTCTTCTTTCCACATTGTTTCACTTGCATAGTGGCTTTTAGTAGCTATTACTCCCAGACTGAGTTGCTCATTTTCAGCCTCTAGCTCCTCTACTCTCCGTCTAGTAACTTTGTATGATGCAAGCAAAGCTTGCAGCGCATTAGCAATTTTTCCTTTTTTGTTCTTAGGCATTTTAGGGTAATTCTCAAATTTAGAAATGGCCCATTCATATGGTTTCCCAGTATTTTTTTCTATTCCATCAAACAGTCCCTGAGGGCCATGCTTCGCAATGTATTTAACAATCAATTCTTCCATTTTTTTAATTCTTATTGAATTAAAGTAACTCTGACCGTAAGTTATATATAACTTTTTAGCCCACAAATCCTCAAGCTCAGAAATAAGCTATTTTAGACATAAAACAGTGCCACAGTACGTCGGGCAAACCCACTGCTTCGGGTAACTTTAACTGTTTTAAACTTCACAAAGTCACGGTATGTCTGACTCACTACACTATAAACAACTGATCTAATAAAACTTTGTTACCACTGTACATCGGGTTAATTCAATTACTTTAGAATTCACACAGAATTATATTAAATTATCAACAAGTTTCAGTTACTTTAGAAACTTTTCTCAACAAGCACTTTGCTTCAGTTACTTTAAAAACAATGATTCAAATACAGCTCTGCCACAGTACGTCGGGTTAATTCAATTACGCTAGAATTTAAAACAGAGTTGTACAGAATAGGCTTGTTTAATAACTCCTCCTACTAGTACTGAACAAACTATATTTTCTTCTGTCCTTAATACTTCTTTTCTAGAATCTTTTAAACGAGGGGATTATCTTGATAAAACAAGCAAAATAAAAAAAAAAACACTTTTCTTACCTCATTTGTTTTAGGAAAAACCCCGCGCTGCCTGGCTCGCCAATGTGAGAAAATAGATGAGAACGTCTTGAAGAAAAAACTAAGTTTTATTCCAGAAAAGTAGTGTCAAAGTGGAGACAACACTTCGGATTCATCGGAGTTGGAACTGAATCCCGATCATCCTCGGTTTAAACATCTTATACTGTTTCTTCCAGCTTAACATGTTAATAAGCTTTCACTTCAAATGTAAATTAAGAACAACAATAAAAGTGATTTTCTTCCGTTCCCAGACCTTGAGTAGACTTTCAGGTGAGAATACCAACTGTTATGATAAATGAGTTTAAACAAAATTCCTTTTGGTCAGCAGATGGTTCTTGATGGCTCGCTGCCGCTCCCATGCTATAAGAAGTAAATTATCATTCCAAAGACATTATTTACATGCTTAAATGATTTACTTGAGGAACTCTCCTCTCTGTGATAATTAAGCTCTTTGTTAAGAAAGGAGCATGGAAGACTTGTGAAATAAAGTAGAAGTTGGTTCGAGGCAGACTTAGTTTCTTACACTAGGTACAGTTAAACATTATATGCAAGGGTATTAAAACCAAAAATATTAATACAAGAGAGAGGGAAACTTTGCAAAACATATGATTAAACATATAGAGAGTAAAGTTTATATGAAAACATCAGTGTTAAACAAGCAGTTTAAAGAGTCCTTTGTAAGCCGTTCCTGTGTTTAATGCCGCATGGCACATTCCTTTGGGTCGTAAATACCTTGGTATCAGGTTTCGAGTCTTCTCTGGGCAAAGTTGGCTCGGTTGTGGAATAAAAAGCAAAATAATTATGTGTCTGGTTGGCCATATTCATTACAACTAATTCCCACAAGAGCATTGATATTTCCCATGTTTTGTTTTGTCTTTGTGGGAGGTAATAGCATAACTCTAAATGTTTTAAAGGAGCAAAGCTATAAAAGCATACACAAAAGCTTTCCACACTATTTCTCTTTGTGCTCTGTGGGCTCTCTCTTTAAGCTGTCTCAATTATAAATGACCTCTAAGCAAAGGTTTTCTGTCAGTGTGATTTTGTCTCAGGTTTTTGACAGTGAAAGTGACAGAGGAGAATGTGACTGAGACAGAATAATCTTGAGGTAGACCCTGATTATGAGGCATCCTCCTCAGATGAGAATGACACTCGTGTTGACCTTCCTGTTGTCTCTCAACCACCAGCAGACACATTACCTTCCAAAAATGAAAAACTATTATGGTTCCGCTTCCCACTTAAACGACAGGGTAGACTGAATGCTGCTAATCAAAATGGTTTCAGGGCCCACCAGATATGCTGTCAGTCATGTTCAAGACATGAAATCAGCATTTCAGCTTTTCATTACACCATCAATTAAAAATAATATACATGAAATGGCAAACTTAGAAGGGGGGAAAGGTCTATGGGGACAACTGGAAAAACTTTAATGTGACTGATTTGTAAGCCTACATCGGGTTGCTCATTTTGGCAGGAGTGTACAAGTCCAAAGGAGATGCAAAAGCAAGCCATTGGAATACTGACACTGGAAGGTCAATGTTTTCAGTCACCATGTCTCTGAAGACATTCCATGTTTTCTCCCGTATCATATGCCTTGATGACAAAGAAACAAGGCAGGAAAGATGAGAGCATGCAAAACTCACAGCAATACGGGATGTATGAGACAAGTGGGTCCAGCGGTTGCCAATTCTTAATAATCCAGGCCCCCACACCACTGTGGATGAATATCGGCCATTCCAGCCTGATCTCACAAGAAAACTTAAGTATTTTACGTTTTGGCTATTTAGTGGCTAATTCGTACAAATTTATACGAGTTCAGTCGTACGAAATTGTCCGATTTTAAAAAGGAGGAATGGCGCCTAACCCCACCCCTAAACCCAACTTTCATTGGGGGATGAGCAAATCGTACTAAAATGTACGAATTAGATCGTACGAATTCGCCACCAAATGAAAAATTTACGAATTGCTGTGAGATTGTTTTGGCCATTCCGTGGCCGCTGTCTCTTTAGACAACATGCCCAGCAAACCATGTTTTTTTTTTTTTGGTGTCAAATTGACCACATACATAATTGTGTTCCAGTCCTTGCTAAAAGAAATTGTAATTATTTTCATATGTTAGAAATAACAAAAAATATATAACAATAAAAAGTACAAGGTCCCACTTTATATTAAGTGTCCTTAACGACTATTTACTTACATCAAAAAATAAATACAATGTACTTCCTGTGTTTATAATGTATTTGAGAACACTTGTGGTGCTTTTGAGCTGGGATAGAGGTTGGGTTATGGACAGGTTTGGTGGCATGGGTAGGTTTAAGGGTGGGTTAAGGTGTAAAGGATGGTCAACAGTGTATTTACAAATGTAATTACAAAAGTTAATTACAGATGTAATTACATACTTTTATTTAATCAAACATAAGTACACAGTAAATACATGTATTTACACAATAAGTACATTGTAACAAACTATTAATTCCTATGTAAGTACATATTAGTTAAGGCCACGTAATATAAAGTGGGACCAAGTACAAAACTAATAAAATAACAAATATATACAGTTGAAGTCAGAATTATTAGCCCTGCTTTGAATTATTGTTATTTTTAATTACATTTCCCAAATGGTGTTTAACAGAGCAAGGAAATTTTCACAGTATGTCTGATAATATTTTTTGGTCACACTTTACAATAAGGTTCATTAGTTAATGTTAAGTAATGCATTGACTAACATGAACAAACATTGAACAATACATTTACTATTGTATTTGTTCATGTTAGTTAACGTTAGTTAATGAAAATACAGTTGTTCATTGTTAGTTCATGTTCACTCATGATGCATTAACTAATGTTAACAAGCATGGACTTGACTGTTAATAATGCATTAATAAATGTTCAATTATGATTAATAAATGTTGTACAAGAGTTGTTCATAATTAGTTCATGTTAGTAAATGCATTAACTAATGAACCTTAATGTGAAGTGTTACCATTTTTTCTTCTTGTGAAAGTCTTATTTGTTTTATTTTGGTATAAGAACAAAAGCAGTTTAACATTTTTTAAAAACCATTTCAGGGACAAAATCAATTGGACTCTTTAAGCTAATTTTTTTTTTTTCGATAGTCTACAGAACAAACCATCATTATACAATAACTTGCCTAATTACGCCAACCTGCCTAGTTAACCTAATTAACCTAGTTAAGCCTTTAAATGTCACTTTTAGCTGTATAGAAGCGTCTTGAAAAATATCTAGTCAAATGTTATTTACTGTCATCATGGCAAAGATAAAATAAATCAGTTATTAGAAATGAGTTATTAAAACTATTGTTTAGAAATGTGTCAAAAAAATCTTCTCTCCGTTAAACAGAAATTGGGGAAAAAATTAAACAGGGGGGCTAATAATTCTGACTTCAACTGTAGATACTTTTCCCATTTTAAGTGTAATGTCAGAGTGTTGTTAAGTAGTCAACAAAGACATTAATGGCCTGACACTAACCTTTTGGCAAATAAATAAATAAATAAATAAATAAATAAATAAATAAATTCAAATCCAGGAGGTTTTACCTTGCTGGGCTTAAATTTACCCCAGAGGAAAAAAGGTGTTAGCAGATTTTAAGGTAACAGGATGGTTAAAATATATATTTAAGCAGAATCTTTATCTTCTTAGTTTAAAATTAAACAAGAAATTCACAAATAAAAACAAGTTCACAAACTTAGCCATGTTATTTAGCCATATTTGTGATTATATATTAACATTTGTATGTGCAGTATGGTATGAACAGTCTACTATTCATGGGGCCCCTCAGTTTTGAAAAGAAGTATAACATTAAAATTGTAACGGTTATGTGCAGATTTTACAACATAGAAAATTAATAAAAGAGATATATGATTAATATAGGCTTCTTAGAATTGGTTGGGCCCCCCTAATTCCCTTGGGCCCAAATCGGCTGCTTACCTCTCTTAATGGTTAAGTCCACCCCTGTCAGGAGATGCAACTGGGCCCGCTTAAATAATATAGCATTTTCTCACGGAAAAAACAAATATTAAGTTCACTATCTGTGCAAATCAGCCAGTTTCAGTAGTGAAGTTCATGCAAAGTGCAACATATACATTTCAAACACCAGTACAAAGCACTTTGTTGCACTTTGTCAAAAAATATCAATATTTTTATACATATCCACACATAATCTTACTTTCGCTTTGCTTTTTCACGCGCTTTATTCTCTTGAAGATAATGCAGTGACTGAACTCATTTCAATACCATTGATTCAATTAATTGTATAAGACGATGGTGTAAATGGCTGTCGATTGACGTGTTGTTTGTTTTCCATTTAAATCTCTTAAATTATTGTATGTGATCTCGATTATTGGACTTTGTAACTGACAAGGGAAAAACGTCAAAAACATATAGCCTACACACTAGATGTCTTACAGGTGACGCGGTGGTGCAGTGGGTAGCACGATCACCTCACAGCAAGAAGTTTGCTAGTTCGAGCCTCGGCTGTGTCTGTTGACTTTTCTGTGTGGAGTTTGCATGTTCTCCCTGTGCTGGTGTGGGTTTCCTCCAGGTGCTCCGGTTTCCCCCACAAGTCCAAAAACATGTCCTTTAGGAGAATTGGGTAAGCTTAAATTGGCCTTAGCGCATGTGTGTGATTGAGTATGTATAGGTGTTTTCCTATGATGGGTTGCAGCTAGAAGGGCATCGGCTGCGTAAAACATATGCCGGATAAGTTGGCGGTTCATTCCAGTGTTGCGACTCCAGATTAATTCAGTTAAAAAGAAAATGAATGAACAAGATGTCTTAAACTGTTACCGTTTACTGTTGTGCTTAACAGTAGGGCAATACAATATTGAAAATTCAGGATTCAATAATGAATATTGAATAAATATTGAGATTTCAACATTTCAGTGAGCAGGTCGACGCACACACAGAGTGCAATGGTAAAGCACGCTACATGCCATTTGTGTGCATAAATTAAAACATTTCATATGCGAAATAAATGCTGAAAATTCTTTAGCCAAAAATGGTAATGTATTAACTATCTACCACTTAGGCTAATATGCAAAGATTGTTTATATTAGTTATTAGAAAAATAATAATGTCCATATTGGCCCTGGTTCATTAAATAATAATTAATAATATTACTAGTGGTGGGCCATTATCGGCATTAACGCAAGACTCTTATCATGCAATAGAAAAAAAAACAAAAAAAAAACAAATCGGCGTTAATCTATTCTCAAAGTTGGGTTGGGTGCTGGGTCTATTCTACGCAAGCTATGATGACTTACACCTTGATATTTTAACGTAGATGTATACCAGAGAGCCGTCTGATAAAAAAAGTGCCCAAATCAAATCAGCAGGATGCCCTTCTGGATCTTTCACTAACTTCAAAGACACTACTGACTATGTTTACATGGACATCTGTCATTTGTATTAATAGACAACAGTATAATTAAGGTGTTTACGTGAAGTGCTTTCATGTAAAGTTTCCTGTAATTTTGAGTGACTTTAACTGCAATTCGGCAGTTTCACTTTAACTCATGGAAGGGTGTGTGTGTGTGTGTGTGTGTGTGTGTGTGTGTGTGTGTGTGTGTGTGTGTATATATATATATATATATATATATATATATATATATATATATATATATATATATATATATATATATATATATATATATATATATATATATATATATATAGTTATTATTTAAAGTTATTGTTTAACCATGGTTTGTTCTGTAGATTATCAGAAAAAAAATTAGCTTAAATAAGTCTAATAATTTTGTCCCAAAAATGTTTTTTTAAAAAACGAATAACTGCTTTTATTCTAGCCGGAATAAAAGAAATAAGACTTTCTCCAGAAGAAAAAAATATTGTCAGACATACTGTGAAAATTTCCCTGCTCTGTTAAAAATTATTTGGAGAATATTTAAAAAAGAAAAATATATATAAAAAAGGGCCAATAATTCTGACATCAACTGTATATATAATTTGTTTTTATTTACAATGTTTTCCACTTGTTCTACCTCTATGGTATATGGTAATGTCCACAGTTCTTCTTCAGGAACAGTGAAATATAGCAAATCTGTTACAACTAAAATGAAAATACCTTTAGGGATTTTGAAGTCAGAAATAAACGAAAAAGCAGGTAGGCCAGCCTCAAAGTGTTTAATGAACTTCACTTACACAAAACCATAAACAGTGTAGGTACAGATATTTGCATCTTTAGCCAGTTTCAGTTGGAATATGCCAGATGTTTCTCTACTTTACTAAAAAGCTCAAATGTAATTCCAGGTCTAGATCAAGCACTTCTTATTCTCTGGCAAAAAGCTGTTACATCCTTTGATTGTCTATGCATTAGTAATGAATCCCAAGATCTCCTGATGATACAGTCAAGTATCTTCAGTTAGGTGTAAATAATAGACACTATACAGGGACTACATCATTTCTTTCCTGAAAAATACAGGAAGCGAAGTTGGAAAAAAGCACCAGAAGTGAATGAAAACCAGCATATGATTGGCTGGGCTATCGAGAGGAAAAAAAAAAAGATTTAAGCAGAGACAAAATTCAGCGCACATCAAAAGTACCAAACTTAAAAATGAGGGCTAACGGCACAGGCCTACGAGTCAGTCAAAGCTAACACTTCACCAGAAAAACAAACACCACAAACATATGTCTGTCATTTTGCATATGTTTGTCATATTTCAGTAATTCCCTTTACGATAATACACTTACTGAATGGCGATTATAGTTAAAAGGCACAATATAAATATGTACAGGAAAAGAAACACAGACACACACATCTATGCAAACAAACGAAGAGTACACATTCTTAATTGTCAAAGCTGCTTGAGTAAAACTGCTTTTTCTTCAGGCTCAGTAATGTTCAGTCAAAATCTCACATAGGTGGGAATTTCACACCCGAAAACCAGCTCATAAAACCACCTTCAACCAAAACTGAAACCATCCTTTATCACTGACCAGAAATGTATTGCACACTTATCAGATTTTCTCCCAAACGCATACAAACAAAAGAAACGGGTCACAGCCTGGGGTCCTGCAGCTTCAAATAAAAGGGTAATTATGGATATAAGCAAGACGTATGTTATGAATTACCACTCATCTCAGGGTACAATAATGCAAGTTAGTTCATATGGCTCATGATTGCATTATTTAACATTTCTATTAGGGCAAAACATTCCCGGAGCCCACGTTTAGCTGAAAACAAAACCTTAATCTGAATTTTAATGAAATGACGCAACTGAATTTTTAATTGGCCCAGTTCAGACTCAAATAATTTCATTTTTGTATGTGGTTTTTACTTTTGAATCAAAAGGAAGAGTGTAGGAAGTTTTAGCTATTTTAGAGTCTTGAAATGCACGGTTGATTTTGGAGCTATACAGCGAAGGGGGAAAACAGCTTGTAAAAGGAGAAGAGGACAATGAACTTTCTATTTAACATCTTTTGTGTTTGTAATGAAACATCTTGAGTTTGTAATGAAAGTCATGTAAATTACCATTTTCATTTCTGGATAATTTATTCTTACGAGAAAAAAAAGGAATAAAATGTAGATAAGGTAATATGGCTTCCATTTGGTACTCAATAAATGTGCCTAATTTGGAGCAGAATTGATGACGTGCACAATAAAATAAAATGCATACAGCCTCCTGGAACAGAGCATTTCAGAAATGTCATATAAAGATAGAGATTAAATGAAACTGAATCTATGCTAAACCCTGCAGATACCATCTGAAAACAAATATTAAACAGGCCACGACTGTCATCCATCTAAAAAAGGATGGTTTACCCAAAAAAACAAAAAAAAACATGTATGATTAATTCACCTTCAGGCCATCCAAGATGTAGATGACTTTTTTTCTTTTAACAAAACTTTAAAGGCAAATATCACTAACATCAACAAATATAATTACTACCTATGATATTTAAGGACTTATTAAGCTCTGAGCAAGAATCTGAATATTACTTCTAACATTGCAGAGCCAATGGACTAGGTAATGTTGTAAATCATGTTCATTTTCTTGCACAGACCTCTCTATGTATCATCAGAAGCCACAGGGTTTTTTGGAATTCTTTGTAGTCATTATTTTAAGGATGGTTTTGGCTAGAAAAACTTCAATAATGCTCAACTGAACAAAATTTAAAAATGTGTAAACCTTGGATGGACTTCGAAAAAGTTGAATTACATTTTGGGGTGGACTGTCCTTTTAAGAACAGAAATAAGCATTGGTCTGAGCCTTCTAATGAATGCAACCTGCTATTTCAGATATAAGAACAAAAATCCTGACCTTTGGAATGAGTGCAAATCAAAATGACCCCAAATTTCTCTCTAGCCCATTAAAAAGAAAAAGAATGCTAAATAAAAAATGAAAAAGACAGAGCTTCAACAAACTGCCAAGTTTCTGTGCCAGTGCAGACCTTTGGTCATGAGTTGTTCCTTTGGTGAATCCAGTTACGTTGAAGATGGTACAGCTACATCCAATTTCCGAGAGAAAGATGCAGTGAGAATGGGAGACAGTGTTTTCCTTGTGTATGCTTGTGTGGCGTCCCAGTGCAAGGTTCAGCTTAAGGGGGAGGATAGCTGCCATTGGGGGAATAGAGGCCTTGTGAGATTCAGTCACAGATTTTCTTGAGTTCTTGTCTGTGACTGCTAGCGTCCAGAGATGACCTCAGCTTCTCCACGGCTGTGGTGGTTAAGGTGAATGGGGTTGCTGACGGATGCAACTGGAAAGATCCAGGTCTCACTTCCAGCTACATCTATAAAAAGTCCAGTTCCAGAGCTTGATGAAGAGAAATCAGGTCTCCATGAGAAGAGATTCGCCAAAATGGCATGTTGTGCTGGAGAATGATGGAACACATCGATTAGATCGCAATTTGAGAGAACAGGCCAACAAAAATGTGTTAAATGCAAAACAAGACAATAAGAAGTATTTGTTAAGCCCTGGATTACGCATATTCAACTGAGAGAGTCATTAACATCAAATGCCCAATTTTGTGTTTATTTTTAAAAAACACAAGCGAAGATATTATCAATCAAATCTGCCACTAACATCAATTTAAAACTGTAAAGCTTTTAACTAGATTTATTGTACATTTTTATTCACATACAAAACTGATCAACAAACTGTGTTTACAGTATTCAAATTACATTCCATCTTCATCATGAAAGCTCAGACTTACTTAATTCCTTCTTTATTCTGATTCTGTTGTGAGTGTCACTCCTGGTTTTTCTCAATTAAGTATGGCTTACCTTTTTATTTGCGAATAAAAGCTTAAATCAAATCAGTTCATTGTCTCTCCCAAGAAGACTGGCATTTGTTTTTAATTGATAATTTTACAAAAATGTTAAAGCTTCGGAAATCACTCTTCTTAAATAGAATCATTTTCATATAGGTTCCAAAGATTACCTTGTGGGTTGGAATGACATTTTCAAAAAGGTGCCAGAATGCCATCAAAATGAACTTTAGCCATTCCAACAAGTTCTCTTGCAACTTTATTTGGATTAATAAATGCCCTCTGTTGCCAGACAGCTGACAGAACCCATCAATCAATTTTTCTGTTTAATAGATGTCTAACAGACATCTAAACTTAGACAGCTTGGCTAAAACAAGGCTAAACTTCAGCTGTCAGTGAAAATGTAATAGACATTTAAGAATAGCTAAAAACAAGACTAGTTTATTTGATGACAAGTCTAGTTTTGGCATAATCTTAGACATCTATTAGATTTTCACTGACAGCCAGAATTTACTTTGTTTTAGCCGAGATGACTATTAGACGTCTATTAGGCATATTTTAAAAACAAAAAACGGAATTCCAAACTTTTCTTTTATTGCTATTTTTTTATTTTTATTTTTTTGTGTGTCTCCAGGTTGGGACATCTGGCTCACTGTTTTTTCTCACCAGAAGGGGCCCCACCTTGATTTAACAGAGGTGGAATTTACATTAATGTTTTAATTTCTTTATTTAATTTTAAAGCACAAGTGTCAAATTTAGTTTCTGTAGGGCTGCAGCTCTGCACAGTTTAGTTCCAACCAGGAAAAAGGAACAGTTCACCTAAAGTTGTGAAACAAGTTGTTTCTTTTTCTGTTAAACACAAAATAAGAAATATAGAAGAATGCTGGAAACTGTTAGATATTGACTTCCATTGTAAAAAAAAAAATAAATAAAATTGTAAAAGTATGGAAGATAACAGCTATCACTTGAACACTTTTAAATATCTTCTTTTGTAATGTTCTTCCGTTAATGTGTCACACATTAACGTTTAAAACAAATTTTGGGCAGGTAAATTTAATATTTTTAGGTGCATTATCGCTTTAGATTACTTTGTAGTTGTAGTCTTATTCCTCAATATTTCATCAAATTTGATAAGGGAAACAAAAAATATTACAGTTTGTCTGAATGGACAAACCAGTTTATCTGGATGAATCCAAAATTATGTATTTGAAAATCTTTCAATTCTTTTTTTCTCTCAAAAAAAATAAATAAATAAATAAAATAAATAAATAAATAAATAAATAAATAAATAAATAAATAAATAAATAAATATATATATATATATATATGAGACTTAAATAGTTTCATTCACACTTTTGAATTTGATATTTATACACATTAGATGGTATAAGGTTTCACAACAATAAAGACAATCATATTAAAGAGAATTTGGCACATTTCTCATTATTATTCTGCCTTGAATGTGTGAGTTATCTGCTATAAAAAAATCCCACTGTTACTTTATAAAACATAAATCTATGGTTTGCATCAAAAAAATGAAGCATTGCAGTAAGAAATGTTTATTTTGCACTATTATTTTATATGTTGGTCAATTTAATAAACAGAAAGAATGGACAAAGTCTCACTTCTGCACCTCTTTAAAAGTTTTGGTTTGGGTTTGGTCATTGTAAATGCTCGTTATGCTGTAATTTTCATCTCTCTTTGTTTGTGAAAAAAGCCGGTGAGTCAGCCAGCCCATATAAGCGGGGCAGAGCAGGATTCTCACGATGACCACCAGCGCAATACTGTTTTTATGCACTTTGTGTACAGTGTTAGATTTTACATTTAGCGGACATTTGTGCTGAACACGTGGTGAATGCAACGCATCTAGATTCAGGCCATTAAACAGCTGATCCGCTCAGAGTCTTTCAGCGCTCTTTCCAAAATCACTCGGTTGATCTTGGCTGGAGGATTAACATTTGATACATTATTGCTTTTATTGGCGACATTATTAATAACTCTAAGTGTGTTTGCAAACCTGTGTACTTTTCATGTACTGCTACTTCCTCAGACTTCAGCCACAAAAGCCCCGTCATCCCAATGAGGTGCCCCTGAAAAGCGTGAGCGAGCAGTGTCGCGTGTGCATGGAAATAATGTACTTGCACGAGCTTGCCTTAGTTAATAGCCTCAGTCATAGATAATCTAGTGTGCGTGGTTATTAGTCTCAGTGACAAACTAACGCACAGTTTAGTTGCAGCAGTTTTGTTCTGTGCAGAAACGCGGTGTTGAGGAGCCTTTACGATTAATTAACCGTGACGAATTAAAGAGCGGTTAACAGTGAAACCAGTTAATCGTTGCATTACTACTTGAGACCTGTACCTGAGAGGTGGTCAGCAGGTTTACCATGTTTTTAACAATGGGTTACAAAACTGTAATAAAGGGCATTGTTTCACTAAATGAAGAATATAAAATGTATGGTGTCAAAAAAAATAAATAAATAGATAAAAATAAAAAAATAAAAATCACAAGAATGAACTACTTTTTTCAAAGCATTAAAACAGAAACTAGTTCATTTAAAATGTAGTAATACTTTACGCAGGTAATATATTGCAATGAGATCATAAAAATAGTTCAGATGCCGATATTTTGACATTGTACCTGTTTTGCTGCAAACTCTTCATCACGGCCGTCGCCTATAACAACATAGGTTACTTTCTTCCCAAAGCGAGAGATGATGCGTTCAAAACAGCTCTCTTTTCCTGTTAATTAAAGGTTCAGTCATCATTACTCTGACAAACACCATCCATACAACTATACAATCACTTAGATATTGAAGTCTTTTCAGTTTGACACTTACAGTTCAGCAAAAATGAACAATACCATACTTTATTAACCCTCATGTTGTTCAAAACCATATGGAACAAAATGTGTTTTTAAAAAAATATCCAGACCACTTTCCTACATAATGAAAGTGTAGCACAAAATAATACTGCAAGTTTTCAACAGCAATATCTACTACTTCTTTTAGTTATCAAGTTAATCAACTGGAGGGGTTGTCAAATTTGACAGTTGAATGTTTTTAATGCTTTTTGTTATCATCAGAATTTTGAAGCTTAAAGCAACACTCCATATATTTTTAAAAAGAGGCTGAAGACAAGCATCAAGTGTTTATTGATTGTATCAGTCAAATGTCAGTCTATATGCAGCCTCTGAAAACAGCGTATTCTCATGTGCTGCATAATATCATTCCACTTGATAAAGCCAAAGCCACTGGCCTATAGATATAATTTTTCCGTATTCTTTGGTCTTATTACACAATGTAACTACAGATGACTAAGGAGATCCAGAAGGGATGTGATGGTGGGGAAAAAAATAGGTGGGAGAAAAAAAACTGAATGGGGGAACAAAAAAAATAATTAAAGTTTTTGCGTTCCCTCGCAAAGTTCCACAAACACTTACTGTTCACTTTAAATTTAAAAAAATGTAGGTAATTTGTATTTACATTCAAGAGTGAACCCAGAGAACACAGTTATATCAAATTATAATGTATTTAATTATACTAGATTTCCATTCAACTAAACTGTATTCAGTCTCTCAAATGTACAAATCTAATGTTCGTAAAACTCACACTGTACAACAAAATGAACAAATATCCTATATCTAGATGTATGCTAATATATATATATATATATATATATATATATATATATATATATATATATATATATATATGTGTGTGTGTGTGTGTGTGTGTGTGTGTGTGTGTGTGTGTGTGTGTGTGTTTACAGAGCTTTCAACCACTGCAAGACATATCCATTATGCACATCACTAATGAAAGAAGTTGCTTTTATACTCTGGGTTCATGCTTGACTGTACATAAAAATATAAAGTGAACAGGAAGTGTTTGTGAAACAACAGTTTTGCAAGAGAAATAGAAAAAGAAAAATAGTTATTTTCCTCCGACCCAATTTTTTTTTTTCTTTACATTCTGCTTGTCTGAACTGTCTGGCTTTGGAATGACTGAATGCCATAATGTTTGCATATTGATTTTACCTATTTTAGTGGCGCTGTAGATGTTCTCGATGGGAAAAACGTCACCCAGGCCATATAGAAGCACTTTAGCTAAAGCAGGAACCAACTGAGTGGTGGTGACCAAAACATTCATACATCTGCCCCTGTGAACATACACCACATAATTAGCCTATTGATAGTGTTTTCACACCATTTAAGTTAAATCAAACACATTGCATATAACGTGCTGGTGCTGGACAACATGCCAAACAGGTTTCTTAAAGTTTGAAGCCACGGGTATCTGAAGATTCATCTTAAAATTTCAAGTAAAATCAGCAGAAACTTATATGAATGAGAGTTGATTAATTCACTAGAGTTTTAAAGGGGAAATCAAGGATTCAGTCAAGTTTACATTATTTTGCACATTCGATTCCACTTTTAAGGGCAGTGCCCTAGGTCTAAAATCTATTGTAAAACATGGCGTTTTCTTCTAAATGGTTACATTAATCAGGTTTGCCTAATATATTTTTATTAAAGAGGAATACAATGTACAAAATAGTGTAAACTTGCCTGAGCGCTTCATTTCACCTTTAAGAATAATAATACTTGATTATTCAGGAAGTATACATTAAATTAACCAAACGATCATAAAGCAACTTGGCAAGAAGTGTAACAACATACACTGGCAAAAAAATTAAACAAACTTTTGCTTTGACAGTGATAATGTTTCCATCACACATTATGTACACCCTGTAGCCCCAACGCCTAGAAATTACCTCGTTGTTAAATTTCCACATTCAAGAAATATATTTAATTTGTAAAACGACACAAGAAATTTTTGTTTTTTTGGGGGGGAAATAATTAGATTTTTTATTTTTATTTTTTTACAAATTTAAATGGATTGAACATAAAACAATTAGGTTAACTTAATAAATTTGTGTTGGGACAACATGAAGGAGTTGTGTGGAAGTTTCAGTTTAACATTTTTTTCCATAAAATATTCTGTTTTTTGTACTGCTTTCCTTTTTACCTATACATTTGAATATAATTTATTTGCAGGTTATTGTGGTTTAAATTTACTTTACGGGATAAATAATATTTATCTATTATTTTTACTAAAAAAAATTTCAGAATATACAGTAAATATTATGTCAAAAGCAAGATGGTAAATTAACATTAATTGAAAATGCTAATAATCTGTATTTGCTACAAAAAACTGTCGATCACTTGTACAGATTGTTGTTTTTAACGAATGCCATGTTCTAATTACAACACTGATATGACCATTTTAACGAGAATGTTTGATGCAGACCAATTTCTTTCAGCCTGAAAATCTTTGGAGTAAACATGTCTCAAAGAAATAGTTCACCAAAAATTTAAATTTCTCACGATTTACTCACCATCAAGTCATTTGAAACGCTTTAAGTTTCTATTTTATGCTAAACGAAAAAAATATGTTCTGAAAAAAAAAACAGAAAACTGGTAACCACTGACTTCCAAACTATTACTTATACTTTCCACTATGGAAGTGAGTGGTTACCAGTTTCCAGCTTTCTTTAGATATCTTATTTTAGGTTTTTTATATGTGAAAGACGAGTAAAAAAATGACAGAATTTGTAGTTTTGGTTGAACTTCCTCTTTAAATGCCAACAAGAACCCTTCAGCATGTCCTTTCAAAATTTGAGAACATGAGAAAGGCTGAGAAAAGCTAATGTACAGTATAGCAACTATGCTTTGATTGTGATCCAGGCTGCTAAATATTTTTGTTTAAGGCTAGAGTTCAAATCCTTTACCTTGTATCTGCAAAAAATAATTAATAAGTTTGCTTGTCAAAGCTTTAAGGAAAAAAAGGTTGGAAAGCACTGCTCCAAATACATGGTCTGAGAATAGAGACAGATCTCACCTTGACTGAATAAGCAATAGAGATTTGAGAGCGGTGCTCAGCCAGGCATCTGTGACTGTCTCGATCTCTGAACGCAGTCTGAGCAGCAGATCTCTCTTCATTGGACTCAACAGACCTACAAGAACAGCAGGAGATGGTGACTATTAAAGATAATATTGGACCTGATCTGTAAAACAAGTTAAATTGATGTAACCCTTAACAACAACAGGTTATAAATCACACCTCTGAAAAATAAAACATTAAATTATAAGATATAAGGAATCAAAACTAGATTAGAATAATTCTTAAATGTTGCAAAAATTTTAGAAAGTGGAGAAAAATGTTGTTGCATGTCTGACCATGATAATGAAATAAAATGTCAAAAGGTGAACAGGCTTTCTTATACACTCCGTTTAACTCAATATAATTCATTCTTGAATGATACTTTAGCAGGTGTAGACATTCTAGATTTACAGCCCTACTCTTAGCTTGTAGTGATGTATATTTTTTATTAAAAACCTAGTATAATGATGAGGAAAACAATATTATAATAATAAAAAGAATTAAATTACTTCAATTAATCATAAACAACTTAAAATAACAAAATTAAAGGAATTATATTTTATACAAATTACTTCATTCTTCAGATCTTCAATACTTCATCAAATATTTTACCGGTATGCTGTCCTAGAAACTTTTCTTATTGTCATCAATATTAAAAATATTCAAGACCCTTAATAATTTAGTTGAAACTAATACTTACTTTTATGATATTTTGATAAGCATATCACTATTTATTTTTAAAAAATGGTGTTTATTTCATCAAAATGTCAATTTTTATACATTTAATGTGTCCTCACTGACCTCAAGTATACATTTCTTAAATTTGTTTGAAAAATAATACACAAACAAAAAGGAAATAAACAATATCAAGCCATGTAACTGCGAAACCAAAGTGAACAAGAAATAAAACAGAGGACACAGTTTATACTACACTCTCACACTTCTACTGCCTCTGAGTGCAATCATTTTGTTGTTTTGCGTTTAAGCTAAAGCATTCTATAAAAGTTAACCAGTTATTCTACACGTACCTCTGTCAGACCCATCATGAAGCATACGAGGCTGTCATTAACTTCATTCTAGTATACTTGATTTGTGACCAACCAAATATGTAAAGTATGTTAGCAAGAGTAACAGAGAACTGCAATTTAACACAACAACAACAACAGTGACACCTAGTGGAAAAATGCACTGTGCTTCTAAACAGACATAAGATGAACTATCATGAAAATTAATTTCTGTCCAGAAACTCTGTGTAAAGTAAAAAAGTGAAGTAAAGTAAAGTAAGTAAAGTAAAAGTAAAGTAAAGTAAATAAAAGTAAAGTAAAGTAATTACCTCCTACGTTCCCTTTGTATCCATTGTAGATCTCTTTAAGTCTGCGATATCTGAAAGCCAGTTTCCGCATCCACTCCACTCCTCCCTGTACCGCTGCAGTTGAACCCGGACCACTACCTGCACTAGGTCCACTGAATCCATCGCTGGAGAAGTTGTAGTTGCTAAAAATGTCCAAAATGGCCAATATTAGATGTAAATCACAGAGAAAAAAAAAATAAAAATTACAAAAAGTAACTAATACACAGCCACAATCAAAAGTAAATATTTGAATAAAACAGACCTGTTTCTGCAAGTAGATATATATTTTTTACTTTTATTTATTTAGATAAGATCCTTGATGTTATTTTTGTTTATTATATTACATATATTTTTATTTCTCCCCGTGTTCGCATGGACTTCCTCAACAGTAAAAAGACATGCAGTATAGGTGAATTGAATAAGCTAAATTGGCTGTAGTGTATGTGTTTGAATGCAAGAGTGTATGGGTGTTTCCCAGTGTTAGATTTTGGCTGGAAGGGCATCCGCCATGTAAAATATTATGCTAGATAAGTTAAAAAAAGGTGAAAAAGAAAATAAATGAATAAATGAATATATTTTTATTTATTAATATAGGCCTAAAGACATAACATACAAACTATACATTTAAATAAATGTTTTGCTGTTTAATATTCAGTCACAAACACAAGTCCACATTACAATCTGTTTAGGTATATTCAGGCCTACTTTAGTGTTCTTTAGTTTATTATATTAAACTTAAACAGTAAAGCAAATTTAATTTTTATGACTGGATTCCGTATTTTAGCATCATGAAAATCAGAGCCCGACATTTGGTCCAGCAACACAACTATTTCAAAGCATTCAAAGCACAAATCAAATTTAAAATTTCTACATACGCATGTGGCTAAAGCTAGACAGAAATAATGTTATGGTCACTTAAAGAACTGTAATTATAAGTTTTGACCATGTTTACCTCAAATCCTGTCCATTGTCATCCGAGGCAACATCATCAACATGGACTTGATCGCATTCCTGTGTTGACACAAGACCTAAATGTTATTTACATGAACGTAACAGAGCACACGGACACATTTCTTATTCTCCACTCACCTCCAGATCATTGAAGAAGAGATGCGTGTCTGCAAGCTCAAAGATCAACTCCTCCATCTGAAGACCCAAATTGAGAACTGTTGCTGGGTCCTGAAAAGAAACAGAAATAGAAATTTGAGAAGAAAAAAGAAAAAAAAAAGTATCTGTTGCATGAACTTTTGTAAATCAGAATGAACTGAATGATGGCAGATCTGTTTACATGTACTCTAAACATTGTAATCTGGTTCAAACATTTGCTTAGCTGCGTTTTATATACAGTAGATTGTGATTAAACTTTTGCACATGCAATCTACAGTACATGTGACATCATATCACACTTGTAGAGAGCGAGACAGCATAGATGTGATACAAACAAAGCTAACTGTTATTTTTACCCTGTTGGCATACACATTCATAAATCAGCAATATTATTATTATTATTATTTTTTTTAGAAGGTTTACTAACATCTTTACAAACAAAGAAATACACAAGCAGCTTTACCACATCCTGTGTGGCTTTTTCACACTATTGCAATGCCTATTCTTCTGCCATTAACCTGCCATCTCTGGATGAAGATATGGAGTTAAAATTGATGGGAATGATCTGTTATGAAGGAGCTCTTAATATAGAACATGAATTTTGCACTGTGTAATATGTGATGTTATGTCCCGCAGACGATTCCTAATATGACTGAGAAGTTAATCAGATTTAAGTTTTTAGATTAGGGATGCTCAAAATAATCGATTAACCTTAAACCGAAAGGGTGCATTTGTGACCGATTAATGCTATCAGTTAAACGATTAAAACTATTATTTTATATATTTTTAGTTTGGCTGCATAAGGGGCCGATTGAATGCGCCTTTGCGTTAAGAGGGGCATCTTTTGCACGCAGCTCATCCCAGAGCAGCAGTTTGTGTTGTCAAGACAACTACAGAGAACTTTTAAAGAGCTTGGTTTCCGCTACATTTATTCTTCCATGGCAGGGAACAAAATGCATCCCGCCACGGCTACATACCCATTCAAAACATTCAGTTATTGTTGTTGTTGTTTTTAATAGCGGATTATAATCGCATCAAAACGTATTAAAAGGTAAGTGGATTATAACAGCGCAAACTTTTTTGTAACCGTATAGTGCTGTGCGCTATTGTTTAATCCTTTGGGGTTACGTGCTGACTGACTGACTGACTGACAGGTGCGCGATGCGTGAGGTCAGCAAACACGCAGAAGCTTTCAGTTAAGATGAACAAAGTTTCTATAGTTATACTTTATTTATAGTTAAAGTATGACTCTGCATATAATCACTCTATCATGCTGGAGTTTCTAGCCGTTTCGCTTTACTTCAGGACGCATTAATGCCGCTCTGAAGGTCTAATCGCTGTTTTAAGTTATCCAGAGCTGTATGAATGTACAAATCTTGAATATTATAATATTATTAAATATTACAATTTCATCAACATATACAGCAACACTTTTGCACAATCGATACCCAGCTGATTCAGTCGTTTCATAAGAGGACCGCGCTTCTTCTCTTCTTTTTTCCTTGTCAACATATAAAGGCAGATGCGCCTCGCGTTTTTGGAATGAAAAAAGCACGTTAGCTGTGGCCGGCCACTTGTTCAACTGCAAGACATAGTTAACTTGCGGGACGATAACTTATAACCCGTGCCTACAGACACATTTGCCAAAGAAGCAAAATGGAAGAAGAATATTGCTTGAAACAGACGTGTTGATGCCAAAAAAAGCGCTGATGTTGACCTGGATCTGCATCATAAACGCAACAAATAGGCTTTACCTTTTATTTTACAGCTTATAAAGCATGTATGCACATTAATGCAATATCATATTTAAACAACAAAACTGTTTACAAAAAGTCAACATATGCGCGCGTGTTGTTGTCTTTTCATCACGCAGCGCGCGCACTTGAGCCGCGATGGAGAGAAAGGAAATCACGTCAAGACATAATCTTTAAAATAATGATTTCTATTAAAAATGTAAAAAGGTTTTGTGATTATAATAATAACAGCGGGGCATTAAATAAATGCATATTTTCCGTGGAGCGAGTGGTTTGAAGAAGTCTGCTATTTTATTTGACAGAAGACAAAAATATGATTGGAAAAAAACAGCCTATGCCGGTTATTAAAAATAATCAGTCAGTGTTTTCGATTTGTAATATAAATTAATTATTTAAGTGGAAAATAATTTAGGGCAGTCCTATTTATTTTATTCATTTTATTTAGTTTATTCTGTTCTTCTGTGCTAAACACTGCAGGTGCTTGAAAATGCTCTGTTGTATTGTTCTATTATTAATATGCTAGCATATAAAAATAAATCAGTATTTTATGCAATATTTAATGTGTCGGACACAAAATAATTTGTCAATTTATTTTAATATAAAATTAATAGTAATCTGACCAGTTAACCGTTAATAACCGATTAATGAGCGGCGGTTGTCGGTTAGCAAAATTAACCGAAATGAGCATCCCTAGTTTAGATAGAACAGATCAGATAGAAAAGGAACAAACCAGCTTTTCCAATCTATTTCCAGATCTAGCTCATTCAGTTCAATTAATGTGTTTACATAAACATTTGATTATGACAAACAGAATATTTGGATGCATGTAAAACGCAGCCTGTATGTTTGTAATAGCAAACTACTGTACCTTTCCAAACTTCTGTGCAAATGAGCCAGTGAGAAGCGAGTGGAAAATGATGATGGTTTCATCCAGATCCCACAAGAAGACACGCTGAGAACAAAATATTTATGTTTATTTTAAGATTCACTATTACAGTACTCTTCATTTAGTACAGTGTTAAACAAGCTTATAAACAGATTAAACCTATACAGGTTACTTTAGTACCTCAAGGTCATTGTCTGTAGACTGGGAACCGTCAGATTTTTTGGCTTTGCCTTTAGCTTTGCCAGCAGGGGTTTTGCGGTTTTGCTCGTCTTGGTCTCGTGCTCCTGTGGGAAGGGCCATGCCAGCGGGCAGAGCCACACCGGTTGGGAGCGTCACACCTGGGGAAGCATCTGATGAAATGAGACAAAACATAAAATGAATAAAGAACCAGAAGAAAGAGGGGCATTCACAAATGACAATCATAGTGCAGTGCACAGGGGTGTTTGATAAACAAACAAAAAAAATAATTTCAATACTTTTATTTGATATTATTAAACAATATAATTACTATATAATTTTGACAAGCTGACAGTTATGACAACTATGATTAAATAATAATAACAGCTAATCTGAGCTTCAAGGAGCCATTTCAAAAATGACACCACACACATAACTTTCCTATAGCTAAAATCACATATCATTTATACCGCTTCATATAAGCACTGGAGTTTAGAATAAGTTAAAATAATTAATCTAAAGTTGAAGAGAAAATAAGTCACCTGTAGTGTTGGGCAGGTTTGCAGAGGCACTGCCTTCTGTCTTAATGGCAGGATATCCAGGTGCCACCACCCCTGCTCCATCTCTATCAGTGCTAGGCAGCCCAGCAGACATGTAACTGGGAGGAGGAACGTAGTACTGGGAAAACTGATTTTGACCAACAGAGTTGTAACTTGTAAACTCCTAAAAAATTGAAGGCAAACATGAGGCCAGTGTTAGAAACTATCACTGCAGGCTTTTTGCAAGTTAAAACCATTTTTAACAAAGTGTTTTTTGAACACCATAATAAAAGTTTAAGTAATCTTGTCCAATGAAACACAGATACTATCACATGCCTAGCCTGCACAGTGTTCCCACTCGAAACCAAATGTCAAATTTCCAGACTTTTACTGACTAAAAGGCTGACTTTCCATGCCCTATAACGAATAACAAAACAGGCAGCTGTTAATCAGTCCCTCAAGAATTTAGCAATTCTATGATCGCTGAATTTAATGCAAAATTTGACTTGGGAACGCTATAAAGAATTACTTTCATGCCATCTGCATTGTTTATATTAAATAACATTACATTTTCAACATTTATTTTATTGACGGCTTTGATGCTTTTCCAATGCTCCTGTTGAAGAGATTTGAATGAATTTATGTATGAAATCTTAAAGTAGGCTTTAAACTGTTTTTAGTGTTCTCTTTATATAAACTACAATCAATCACTCTTGAGGTCAAAAAAGTAATGAAGTGTAAATGTATGTATACATTCACACCATTACAACACACGAAATACAACCAAACATTTCATTGCTGAATAACAAATGTAAAAATAATAAAATTGGCAGTGAAAAAAAACCAGGCTATGACCATAGCAACAGGCAAAACAAATCTAAGAACGCGTTCAGATAAAAAAGCATGGTACAGGGAAAAACATTTTGATTAATGGAAAGTATTCCATTCCAGGGTTTAGTCCAGTGTGAAACCTCAGCAAATGAATGCCCAGGATTCATTTTTAATCTATCTAAACTTTGAGCAGTGTGAAATCTGAAGTAAGATATCCTAAGATTTAAATATCGCTTGATCATTCTACATCTCCAGGCAAGGTTTTACCTGCAAAGACAATTACAAGGCAGCCATCTCCATCACATTGTGTATAACCTGTGCCTTTTGACAAAAACCAGGCAGGCAGTCACTACTACTGACAGACGCCCAAGTGATGCTCAAGCCCTGGTCATGCATTTAATTACTTTTATATTAGCCTTTTTAAATCAGACCATGTTTAACTTGATTAGATTATAAGAATAATGCTCAATGCGTGTATTTCAAACAGCGAAATCTTAATTGCTGGGATACAAACACAACCATATATTACTGACTTTAAATTAAGGACCCACCTGATGTGTGCCAGCAGCTGTGGTCACTGCGGTTGATGGGGGGATGTTAGTGTACACACTGGATGTAGTAAAACAGGAACCTGAATGGGGAAAAATAATTATAGAGGATACCAAAGAACCAAAACATCGGCATTAAAATTCAGGATGATAATGAAATGTTATATGAGCGTTAATGGCAGTGGACAGCCTATACCAATCAGCGCTTCTGTATTGATAAGGCTGTAAGATTTGGAGAGTGTGTAGAGACACACACAGTGACAGATAGCAGTAGCAGGCTTGCCTTGGCTGGGGTAGGAGTAGTGGATCTGGTTGGGTTGGGTTGAGGTATAGGCTGAGCTGAAGCTGAGAAATCCCGTCTGACCAACAGAGGGCGCCTCGGGCAGCTCGGTCTTTAAGCCTGGCCACATGGCGCCTGAGGCCGTGCATGGATAGATGGCAAAGGGAGAGGGCAAAGAGTGGAGGAGAGAAGGGATGCAGAGACGAAAGGGCTGATTAGAGGGGCGGTTAGGAACAGGATGTAATGCAGATGTGAACTGATCTGACAGCTGGCGTACAGTGTGAATGCAGGGTGAGGGTTTAAGTGGAATGAGTTTGGGTGAAGTGTTTCTGATGAATTAAAGCACAGACGGCAACTGGGTGAAGCACAGACCAAATGGTGGCAGTCCGTATGTCTGGCCGGACTGAGGAAAGGCGCTGTACATTGATGACTGGCCCAGGGAGGGGAAAGCCACTTGACTGGCATATGCGGTGACAGCGGTGCTGAAGAATAATGGAGGAGAGTTACAACACTTAAGAGCAAAATGACAATTTCATCAGGTTGGCATTAACTAGGTTTATTACCTACGTAAAAGGGATTTGAAGTTGTTAATAATCATACTGTCAAGATGAATTCAACACTAATTTACTAGTAATAAACCATGCTCTTGTTTTTACTAATGATTCGTTTATGAAATAATAAAAACCAAATGTCTTAAATAAATTGTTCATTGACATGCATTTTTACCAGTTGCTTGAATTACTGGTTAAGTGTTACTACCTATCATCAGTGTCCAGTTACTTTCAAAAGGTGATTTAGTCTATATTGGCCGCAACTGTGGCCAATGATGTTTATATTTCTTTATCTATATTATTATACATCTATTAATAGTTATATCTGTGATCGTTTGAATGTTTGTAACTCAAATAACAACACTATGTGGTTAAAAATCTAAATACTGAAGCAGTTTCATAACCGTACTGAACTGTTCTCTACAGTTCAAATGCAGATTTGAATGTATAATGTGATCATATTTATCAAATGTTTGTGAATTAATTTTATTTGTGAATTGTTGTGATTGAGGAACAAGATTAGGTGGGTGTTTGAATAAATATTGTAATCTTTAGCGATTAGCTGTGCATATAGATATTATTTTTCTTTAGAATACAATTTATGTACATACTGGTTAGAACATACAAATAATTAAATACTTAACGATTATCCAGCTTTTTGCGAATGTGACCATTGATTTTTAAATTACGGCTTTTACTTATTTTACTTTTTACTTATAGTTTTAGGAATTTGTATTTAAAAGAACTGAAACAAATCATTCTCATTCTATTTATAATAATAATAATAATAATAATAATATTGCTCTACAAACAATCAATTGACATAGTAAAAACTATTAGGTTGTTTTGGTTTGTGCTCTACTTTTATCCGCCATGAAATTATCCCTCATTTTGTGTATTCAGATTATTTTCTCTTTATATTTCATACAGAACAGTGATATTTATTATACAGTACATCTGTAAAATTGCTGCAGAAAGTCTTGTTTTGAGTAAATTGTAAAATCTAATTAGATGCCTTTTAATATTTGATGGATTAACTGTAAATAAAATAATAATATAGGCAAAAAGTTGGATCAAACACTTGATCTGGTGCATTTTAAAGACATCATACCATTTAAAATAACTTTCAGTACTTACTTGCTTCCTTGGTACATCTGTGAGGTATATTCAGTTGATGTGGTTGTGGCGAGGTCTTTACACGTCACTGCTGTTGACAATAAGGAGGTTTTGGTACAACAGTATCATATTTTATGTCTCAGCATAACAGAGAAAGGGTCATTACCGTTGTGAGTATATGCATTTTCTGTGACGCAGCCCTGGGATCTTGATATCGTCTCTTGATTAGACTGGTCTGGAGCCCCAGGAACTTTCAAAGAAATTGAAGGGTACTGTTATACTAACAAGTTCCAAATAAAAAGGACAACAGACTGTTTAAAATCTTTCTGAAATAACTTTGAAATAACTGCAAATGAAACTGTGAACTTCATTCATAGTAACTAATTCATTTTACAAAGAAATTCTAAATGCAATAATAATAATAAATATAAATGTTAAAAAAATAATATAAAATATGTTTTAAATGGAGTTTTTACTTTGAACCATTTATATGAAAAATATATGAAGTGCATCAACAATACCTAATAAATAGTATTGTTTACAATAGAAATTAATAGTGAAAAAAGGTGTCAGAAGTCATTGTATTCTTACTGCCAAACATACACATGGTTCTTTTACAACACAATTCAAAAATGAAGTATCAATGCAGAAACCTGCTTACTAGAGTGCAAGTGTGTGACAGAGGATGGAGGGTAGGAGTTGACGTTTGACTGTGTTGAGGATTCATCCCGGTTTGGGGAGTCACTGCTGTCATTAGCAACGACGCTACTGCAAAACAAAGACTTTTACAACCTTGTCCTGTTGTTCTCTTGAATATATAACACAACACAACAATAATCAGTGATCACAATGGTGCCATGTTTCACCAGCACAACTGTATGCAAGTCATGGAATGAAGTTTGAAAATAAGGACGTACAAACGTCTTGCGTGTGAGTAGCTATTGGAGTGACTGGAGCACTTCTTAGGCCAAATATTTTCAGATATTTTGTAAAAGGCAATTAATGGCAAGACTAAAATTTGGCAGTTATCCAAAAGGAAGTCACTTTTACTCTAACAAGACACTCTTTGTACTTTACTTCTGCCCTATTATTGTTTAGTTTTTTTTTAACCTTGCTGAAGGGCAAGATATGAACAGAGCACTGATTGTTGCCATTAAGAATGACATCATCTCAATCTACAGCCCTACCAACAACTAGCAATAAAAGTGCATTCTAAAAAATATTTAAAAATGAACCCCACTCTCAAACAAAATTGCTTACCGTGAATCACCCTCCTGACTCACTTCTGGATCATGCCGAGCTTTTTTTGTCTATTCAATAAAAACAACAAAAACATTACATTTATTACACTACATAAAGCTAGATAGCTGCATTTGATCATGATTTTTCTATTGCAGCATCTTATGCATGACACTTTTAAAACCGTGAGTTAATTTGATTGATTTTTTTTTTTTTTTTGCAGATTTCATTTACCAATACTGATCAGTGAACTTAGTTTAAAGATCATGAAGGATCAAGCATGCTTGGTTGATATCCAAGAGCCAATTAGATTCATTCTGAAGTGCACATTTGAGCTTTTGCAAAATCAATGTCGTTTTTAGTTTATTACATAAACCAAACGTGTCTTTTTGCATAACTTAGATTAAGCTTAAATTGTTTGGACTGATGTCTATCCCTATTATTTAAAACTTAATAGTGCAAGCATAACAGATTATTAATGGAGGGACAGTAAAATCTCACATATTTCATTAAAATATATTTGTAATTCAAAAATGAACAAAACCATTTGCAATGGCAAGAGGATGACTAAATGATCCAATTCCATTTTAATCTAATACTACAACAAATAACATTTATAGCACAAATTTAAATCCTTATGTTGTATAAGTCACATATGCTATTACCAAGCACTTAATACAAACTGCATACTCTGAGCACATTTTAAATCACTTATAAGCATATTCATTTAGTTAAAACTTGTAAACATCACCTTTTAATTTTTCAAACTGCAAGACTACATACAAGTGAACCACAAAATAAGCTTTTAAAATACACCAAACACTTTTTTATTCATTGTTGAATAAGTAGAATATCAACTACATAATATATTAACTGTATTAAATAATAATATATAACTATATATGTTAGCTAAGCGTTTTTTGAGAGTCAGTTTACTCACAGGTAACTCGGGCACCTCCTGTGATTCGTCCATGCCGTTGAGAGAGGACGTCTTCACCGTCCGCTCAGGGAAATCTGTGCCGTCAGTCTCAGCAGTTGCCGCTGATTCTGCTTTGGCCAAAGCCCTAAATGAAAGACACAATTATAACACGTCGAGACATCTTTATATATGCAGACTGAGGTTGATCCTTGACATGTGCGTGATGACGATGCTGAGCATTATGGGAAAATCAGGGGGGAAAAGTGGGCCTTGCGGGTCCTAATACCACAGTCACCCTGGTGGCAGGTGAGCTCATGCCTGGCAGGTGATGCACGTGAGGCTCCTCCACAAAAGCACCAGATGTTTCCTCCATACCCTCCCACTTTCCAGCGCACATGACTGGATTATATGATCGTGTCTCCTTACATGTATACTAACCTACATTTGGTGAAAACTAGGAAGCTTGTATTCTTTCCTGATTAGATCAAAGGCATTAGGTGTTTCTCCGCAAGCTGTCACATCCACAGGGTGGGTGAGGATAAGATCTAACCTAATTTTATTCATCAAATGCCTTCTTTTAACTGCATTTATATAATTGGAAAATGAATAAAAGTGTGGAAGCAGGTCAAACGCTTGCTTACACTTGAGCCAAATTAGCAGACGCTTCATTACTGTGAAACTACAGTGTTTAATGAATCACGTGTAGCCCTGAACAACACTTATGCAATGTCCAGCTCAATGTCCCAGGAACGTGCTTTGGATAAAAAAAAAAAAAAACAGACTTCAGGTTTTCTAAAACTAATCTTTAAAAGGATACCTCAACTAAAAATTTAAATTCTTTTTATTCATCCCCATATGTCAGTGGGGGTCAAAACTGAAATTATTATTTTTTGCAAATACAACGAAAGATAGTGTACAAAACAATGGAAAATACAGAGAAATACAAAAAGATAAAAGTAGGGTCCTGTGATTCCTGCAGTGTTCCAGGAGTTAATAATGAATTTATTAGACATATTTAACATATATGACACAAATGTCTCAGATTTTGACAAGTTTGATCAAAACAAAGGCAGTAGTACTCTGAATTAGTAGGTTCTTTAAAGATGAAGTCTGAATGTTATGCATGTGTCTGTGAATGATTTGTTTAGAACAAAGAAATATAGGAGCAATTCCAGCATTATGGATGTGGCATTTGAGGTAAAAACTCAAAACTTATAAATCAGAGAAAGTATATGTTAATATTATATTGAAAAATCTGTTTATGAGCAATTCCAGCGTTAAAGATGTAACATTTGCAGTAAAAACTCAAAACATAAGCTCACATAGAAAGTATGTTAACATTTTATTGAAACATCTGATTATATATTCCAGAAAAACTGACCATGGAGTTATGGGAGCAAAAGAAATCTATCTTGTCTGCCGATTTTCTCTGCTCGTGCACAAAACTTCTTGCATGCTCCCTCAAATATACGCTGCCCAAGCGCAGTTCTTATTGTGCGCTCTCAAACAAACGCTGCTGAAAAGTGATTTAGTGCATTTTTGTAACAAGTATGTCTCCAACATTTATTAGATTTGCTAGGAATATTTATGAATGTCTCCAAAAGACCTACAGAGCGGTATTAATGCGTCCTGAAGTAAAGTGTAACGGCTATATGCCGTGTTTGCTGGCCTAACGCATCACGCACCTGTCAGTCAGTCAGTCAGTCAGCATGTAACCTTAAAAGTTCAAACAAATAACGCACAGCACTACTACGGTTACAGAAAAGTTTGTGCTGTTATAATCCATAATGATGCTCTAAATAGAGCGGAGTAACAACTTCTTCAGAAAAACCGCTGTAACTTATTTGTGCAAATTATTTTAACACGCAGACACATTTTTAAAAAATCCAATATGAGTTTTGGTTAAAACATGTCTTTGTTTTCCATGTTAATTTAAATAAATGTAAACAGCACATACAAGGCCTATGATTCCTTTACAAATATTATTGAGAAAAATCCATATTCTATTCTAAAACATAAAACCACTTACAAAAAGCTAACACGTATTCTAATCTCATATATAAATCATCACTTTAATGGTTTTGATTTGAATTGGTATTAAAAAATTAAAAATATATCATTTTAAGTAGTCTATTTAAGCAGTCTAGTAGCCAACTTTTACAACTTTAACACATTCAAACCACTGCAGAAATGTTCTAGCATAGGCCCAATACAGTTCACATACATTTCATATTAAATAGCTTATGCTATTATAAATTAAAACCATATGTCATCTATACCTTTCGTCATGAGCCACGGCTCTGACAGTAACAACATAAATTATTTCGAAGTAGACTAAGAGGGGAGCACAATTGTCAATATGAAGATCGCCAAGCTGAACAGTAGAAAAATACTTTAAAAGGAAATTAAAATAAGAGAGATGACTTTAATGTTCTTTTTTTATTATTTTAAACCATTCTGAGTTTAAATATTGCACTTTTGAAAGGAATAGGGCAGAGGGACTAACTGGGAATAGAACACAGCCAAGAACTATGCTTCTAAAGCTGCGGTCACACTAGAGTTTGTGTGAGCGAAAATATGTCGTATGGTGCTGCGAAAAGGGGCGGGATTAAACAATATTATTAGACAATAAAAAAAAGTGAGCGATTGCTCCATGTTTTAAATTTCTGTCCAGAGAGGTCATGTTTTGATCCTCGATTGGTCTCATGCAGTCATGTGATACGATTTTGCAGGTCATAGTTCACCAAGCTTGAACTTTGCACCGCAGCAACCTGCGAAACTTGACGCATGACCTTGCGTGTCCGATTTGACGATTTCGCATGAGTATGAATGGAAGTCTATGGGGAGACAAGTCCAGTGTTACCGCAGCTTAACTACAGCTCTAGAGGTGTTGTTGCACAGTTTGCGAATGTTCGTTGGAAAGATGGATTTGGGGGACATCAAATTACAAACGCAACTTGCAACCAAGGATGTTTTCTTTCACTACATGAAAGGTAACGTTCAACAACGTACATTTTTTATTTATGTTGCTATTATAGTGCAAATAAAACAGCTTTTAAATTATTTTCTTTATGTTTATTTTGCAGAGTGTAAAACACTATTAGTCAGTTTTGCACTGTATCAAAATTTTGTCAATGTTTGGCAAACCGGCAATACTTACTATTTGGCAAATTCTTTAATTTTGGATTTATACACCATAAATATCATTTGACAAATTTGCTTATGTTATTTTCTTTTAAGTTACTTTAAACTCTTAAGCTAAACGCACTGATTTAATTTGTAGAAAAACACATTTCAGATTAATAATAAACAAATGTAAACACGTTAAACATAACTAGACGACTTTAAGCTTGCCTCATGTGAACCCATATCAGATGAACTAGGTTGAACCCCAGATAATATGGGTTAGAGTCAGATCTTTGCTTTAACCTTGGAGCATGTTTGGTTTTTGTATAACAAAAAAAAAAAAAAAAAAAAAAAAAAAACAGAGTCAAGTGAAAGTGTGCACCATAGCTTTAAATATGACAGGTTAACTAAATCTCACTAGCTCTATACGCTTCTAAAACCCACCCTTTTCCCGAAGATCTACCTTCAGCAGATTTTAGTTGCAACCCATATCAAAAACACCTGCCTGTAAAGCAGTCCGGGTCCTAATTAGTTTAAATGTGATTTATCAGGGCTGGAGCTGAACTCTGCAGGAAGGTAGATCTCCAGGAAAAGGGTTGAGCACTCCTGCACTAAAACAACAACAAACACATTTGACTTGTTGGAAGTCATTAAACAAACATTAGAGCTTTCATACAAACACATTCATTTAAAGTCAAAGCTTTGTGATTATGTAAACTTTATGTATAGATTTATTACACCAAGATGGACATTTTGGCCAGTACTGATACTACTTAATTGTTAACACCTATGAACATTATAAATGTATTTACCTTCACTGTGTATCACTGTGTATCACTGTTTGTGTGTGGGTGGATGAATGTACTTAAATCTTTAGAACCCAAACAAATAATGTTCATAATATAAATAATATTTTTACATTAAGAGATCATGTGCATTTCGCAATTTACAATTATTTAAATACCCATTTAATTTAGTTTTAAAAACATCCACATCATATTAAAAAAATATAGGTCAGTGGAGCTCGACTGCAGGAGTTGCTGTATAAAACGTGCGAACAGAACACTAACGTTACCATCAAAACGAAACAGCAGCAGAGGCATCACAAAGGGAGACTGAACCTCAGATACTGGAGGACGGCTGAGCGGTGAAGGTGAGGACCTCACATCTGCTCTCAGACTCCCTTTTTTGTAGTATTTCATCACAAAGACAACGTTTTGCTTATATGACGCCAAAAAGTGCTGCCTAGATAGGATGGTCGGTATGGTTTGAGACACGACCAGTGTTTCTCTCCAAAACTGTGGGTGGTAAATAAGCAACGCGGTTTAATATAAGACACGCATTGAATGTAATCATATTTGTAAACAAACATAACGGCGTCGATATATATAATACGAAGTAGGAGAAAACTGTTTCCCAGTGGTTGTAGGGTAGGGTTAGCGTTTAGCACAGTTTGAGCAGTTAGCCAACGTGTGTTATTTAGCTCGCGGCTTGCTGACCTTAGCATTTCATACTAAACTGCTCATTAAAACGCTGAAATGCACAGGGTGCCGCAAGCGAATGGGAAAGAAAGTCTTACCATTTCACCAAGCACTACTTTCGAGGAAACTTTATGATCCCTTGAAGTGAAATTCCCTCGGTGGGGCGCCGTTTGTTGTTAGGGACAACTATTTGGCAGGAAGTCGCTAAAAGTTCGGAACGCGCATGTGCAGCGCAGAATCCGACCGGCGCTCGCCATTCGCCAATGCTTTGTTATTAACGTTACTGCATGGTTGACTGCTGCTGAGTACTCTGAGTGAAGCAACACAACTAATTATTTGTTCAAATTTACAGACAATCTATCTTAGAGATTGTTGTATGGCTTATCACTTTTTTTAAAATTAACGTTTATAACTAGTAGGTTTGTAGCTACCATTGCTATGAAGATATTAATATAAACGACAGTCAAGTGACTGAAAATACTGACCAATTAAAAACTGCAACTTCAAATTTTAAGTCATCTCATTAAGCTGAAGAAAATGTGGAGCCATATATTTTTAATATAACAAGATTATTTAAAACAATAGTAGATATGACTGTGTGTTATTCACATAGGTATATATTGTGGGATATATTGATACATAATAATTACAATGAGGTACAGCATTGTGTTTTTGACCAATCCATTACAAAGGATTCTTTAAAAAAACTAGGTCAAGAACAGAACCCTGAGGAATCCCAAAGAGGACAAGGACAAATAAACTCACCACAGCAACTGTTCTTTCTTGCACCACTTTACGCAAGGCCAGAATTCCTAGTTCTCACCCCACTGACCTAAGCGGTCAAGGAGATCACATGATCCACCATAGGGTCATAAGCCAGATCAAGATGTGCTAAAATAGCATTTCTTGTAATCTACGATCCTCAACAAATCATTTGCCACATTTAGAACAGCAGTTTCCATGCAGTGTTTGATCTGAAACCTAAAAAAAAATCTTAAAACTGAAGAGTGTTGCTGAGAAATATTCTTCTCCAGTATTTTGCCTATATTGGTTGAATTATTTAACAATATTGGGAGAATAATTAAAGAATAAAATTTTGTGAACAGTAGTAAACTGAATTAAGATGTTGGATTATTTTCAATTCTAACTAGGTGGATAAAGGTAAGCTTGATCATACTGGGGATCTACATGAGAATAGATCTTCATCTTTGATGGTCATCACAGGAATATTCCAACAAATGATTTCAACAAACTGTATAAAAACTAACAAACTGTATTGCAATTTTTTAAAACTCTTTTTGAATGTAAATGTATTTGGTGTCTTTTTGCTTTTACACAGTGGCACGGTGGCTCAGTGGTTACCACTGTAACCTCACAGAAAGAAGGTTGCCTGTTCGAGTTCTGGCTGGGCCAGTTGGCATTTCTGTGTGGAGTTTGCATGTTCTCCCCGTGTTCACATGGGTTTACTCCGGGTTCCCCCACATTCCAAGTATATGTGAATTGAATGAACTAAATTAGCCGTAGTGTGAATGTGAGTGTGTGAGTGTGTGTGTGTGTGTGTGTGTCTGTGTGTCTGTGTGTGTGTCTGTATGAATGTGTCCCAGTAATGGGTTGTGGCTGGTAGGGCATACTTTGTGTTAACTAATGCTGGAATAGTTTTCGGCCTTAATTCTTCTCTTGGTTTTTTAAATCACTAAATTGTTTGGCTCCTCACCTGTCAGACCTGTTGACTGAACATCAGCCTAGTCAGTCTCTTTGGTCATCAAACTAGAGACTATTATGTATCCCTAAGTCGACGCTGAAATGCTGGGGTAATCATGCTTTCGCAGTAGCTGGTTCTATCTTGTGGAGTGCTCTGCCCCTCTGTATTAGATCTGTATAATCTCTGACTGTTTTTAAATCTAGGTTGAAAACTTACCTCTTTGATTTGGCATTTTATCAGTGAGAATTGTTTGTTTTACTCTAATAATTATCAGTGAAAATTGTTTGTTTTAGCTATAATTTTATATCTTTCTCTGTGTGATTTGTATTGTGCAGCACATTGGTCAACCTTTGGTTGTGTTTAATAGTGCTATATATAAAAAAAAATGACATTCCCATTGACTTTCTGCCGTGGCGACCTCTAAAAAATTAGAGACTGAGGTAAAAAAAAATGAAGGAATGAATGCTATTAACACAACAGACAGGAACTCCATGACCAGCAACCCAACAACGTCTGCTACTGTCACATTTACTTTTGGTTTACATTTAGTTTTCACAGACTACTATATTGTATATTATTGTTTCTGTATATTATTTTTGTTGTCAAGGTTTTTTATTCACAAGACTACTAAATTGTATATTATTTATTTCTGTGTATTCTTTTTTTGGTTGTCATGTTTTTTTATTCACATTGTCTTTCACTGTCACAGATACCTTGTATTTCATTGATTCTCTTTATCTGCTCCTTGTTTAGTACACTATTTATAGCTACTATTTATTGTTTAAATGGCTTTTTCTGTTCTGATTGCTTTCTGTTTGGTTTGCTGTGTCTTCCAGTGTTTTTAGTTTGTGTTTATTAGAACACTGCTGCACATAAATCATGCATTAACTACTATTTTCATGCATCAAGTTGCATGACGCCTTCATATATGTATGAGGAAATTCATGACACACATTTTCAGAATATCAAAACAGCCAATGATTTGCAATAGAATAAGTACACCGAAAAACACACAGATTTATTATTAAATATTTATTAGCATTCATATAGATCATTGTCCAACATTTCATCATTCTATGAATTTAACACTCTGATCATTAGAGGTAATATATGTGACATGTAAATAAATATACATGGAAAAATATAAAACCATATATGTGAATGACTTCCGAAAATGGAAGAAAATAAACTTTATCCATATTGCCATGTTCGTAGTTATCTAAAGAACGACGTATAGCACATTATTGGTCCAATGATATGAAATATATTACAGTTAAAATAGGGATGCTTTTCATGAGGGCATCCAAACCTCTCTCCTTCATTAAGCCGATACCGCTCATTCGTCCCAATGATGACAAATTGTTCACATCGTACCCAAGTCATCATTTCTATTGCACAGCACTCCATATCCCTGTCCAACCCACAATGATACAGACAGGAATGATAGACACATGTGGAAATGTATCACAACATACATAAATTAGCTGAACAGGCACAATTTGAACAAAATAAAGACACGGTTCCTTCTGGGCTACTATATATATAACGTCTGTACATGATGCAAATGGTTTCAGTACAATCTAATCAACATGCTGTTTTTGCAGTGTACAACAGTCGCTTCAGATAACAACAATGTATAAAATATACATCCATCTCACTACCTGTATGACAAAAAGAACATGACTTTCCAAGAAACACAGTGTCTGGCATATTTTGTAAAAGTGCTGGCATTGGAGAAAAGAAAAGGAAAGAAAGTACTTGTAAGACAAAACATTCATTTTAGGAGGAACACAGGATGTCTTCTACTGATTCAGACAAATAGTCACAGATAAAATCCTTTTGGTTGCGTTATCTAAACTAGTTTGTCTTCTAATATAAACCTAATGTCTTACTACCGTTCACAAAGTTTTTAGAAGAGTTCATTCAAACCACACTAAAATGATAAATAATGCAGTTATTAAATTAACATTTGTCAATAGGAGGAAGATATTAAACATATGCTCTAAAAATGTATTGATATTTGAGTCGGACAGCCTGTGTATCCTGTGATGGGGGTTGATGACATAACAACCCCCTTTTTTAATGACTATCCATATATTTTGTACTTTTCTTGATCCTTCACCTTCACTGTGCAACGATGCATGAAAAATACAATTAAACAAAACATCATTCAATGACAAGTTGATCAAATGTAACGATCACAGAAGGCATTTCGCCCAATAGCTGGTGCCATCTTCATAACTCGGGCAAACCATTGTCTGTTTTATAGAAATTTGCTTGTATGTTTCCCCCACAAATAATCTCTCAGGCACTTCTAAGCTCTTTCTTCGATGAGCTCAGGTCCTCTGCATCCGTTGGCACACAATTCACGTTTTCTGGAAGTTTTTATTGTAGTCTCTTTCCTACAGTGTTCCGCATTCATCTCAGACATGCACGAGTGTCCATTTGTGCTGTGAGGTCGTACATGAAAATAAATTGGAAGAGCTAAGTGTCCCATCATGTGGTCCTACTTCTGTCACATTGCTTCTACTGATGCTGGAATGGAAGGTGTCTTGGAAGGTGCCATTACTGGAAGGCATCAGATGGAGGACCGTAGGAAAAACCAGGGAACGCTCCGGCTGCTTCTCGGACGCTGCTGGTCACGTGTAGGTTATCGGTGTTGCATAGAGAGGTCGACACAGGAAGGTGGGTGAACTCTGGATCAAAGTGCCGGAGGTCAGTAGGACCAGTCTGTAGATAAAATAAAGATCACTTATTACATATACAATTAGAACGATTAATCTCAGTGTTACCATTGTATTGAAAATGATTAAACTAAAGTAAACTTTAAGGCAAGACACTACAGAGAAAACATGTAAAACATTTAGAGATTGTGAGGTATTTGTTCTAGCATTTTTTCAGACATGAGGAAATGAAATTAGTGTTAACTTTATAGTTTTTATGTATTTGTATCTGTGGTTTTGAATACTCTACATGTAGAGAAATACTAACAATTTTTATCTTAAAACGTAGATGTTTCCCACTTGCAGTTTTGAGTTTTTATCTCATAATTTTTACTTATCAAAAATTATTATTTCCCGCAGGATTTTATGATTTATGGAGTTAAAAAAGAAATCGAAAATATTTTTCAGAAAGACAAAATGAAGTTGAAAGAAGTTGGAATCTGGTAAATTAATGAAATGACACTTCCATAAATCCAAGTTTGCGTATTTAAGCATATCATTTGAATTACATGAAAATAAACAATATAGTAAAACAGTATGCTATGACTGTAAAAAAACTGATAAATTAACTAAGAAATGTATTATTATGGGGATATGTGGTATTATTTACATTTGTCTGTTACGCCTTGCCTTAATCTCATTCCTGTTCTAGTTTGTTGTTCATTCATTTAAAACACATTTGTAAAATTTGCAATTAAAATATAGTAATTTTAAAAGTAATAGTGATTAATACACTTGATTTACAATAATAATCAAGTATTCAACAATGTCAAATGTTAACTTACCACTGTAGGAATGAATGGAGGCAC